ACAATTGGAAATCATTTATAGTGGTTCAAGAAAATGCAGTTTTCTTAAAACTTTGCAACATTTTAGGAATTTTACAATTCCTACATATGTATATGTTTTTTGCCTCGTTGTAATTCGCCATAAATCTGTGGTATAACATTGTTACTAGCCGCTGATGGTGTTGATGGCATTGAATTTGGTGATGGCGTTGATGATGCTGGTGGTGAATGTCAAATATGTAAACAAACAAAAATATCAATTAAAATTTATAAACATGAAAAATATCAATGTATACCTTTAGAATATGACTATGTCGGTGATGTTTCAAAGAATAAACTATTAACATGCTTTCATCATGAGCGAGAGTCTCATTTTTGCTGAGGGAGATATTTTAATTTGCCTCCAGTAGCGCTTCATTTATTTCACCGAGCCTTAAACATAGTATAATATTAATTCGGAAAGGGGAATGCAATAAAACAGGAATGCATAAACAAATATTTTAAATTATTGCCTGGAACATACACATTTACCGTTATTATTGGAAATGCAAGACTTGGCACGCATTTTTAATTTCTTTTTTATTGAATTCAAATGAATAAAAACACATTTTTCTAAAATATTTCTCAATTTACATTTTAAAGTTTTTTCTGAAACTTCAATGTAACTCTGTGCGGAGAATGAGAGAATTGAAAATCAGGTGATCAGCTGTTTTCAAATGTAAACAAACAAAATGGCGCTTTCCATACTTGTAAGCCTATACAATGATCGTAAGTGTCTTCTTCTTCCTGCCCAAAACAGCCCGGACTTTTTCTCCGGGTAAAAATGGATAAAGCGTCAAAGTGCATATCAGCTGTTTTGTGTTTACATGTTGTTGAGTACGGGAATGATTTCTGGGTAGGGATGCAAATTTTGGGGAGTAACATCGATACATCGATGTTTCGATGCATCGGAAAAATGAACATCGATGCTAAAACACATCGCCAGAAATACATCGATATATCGATGGTTTCCGATGTTTCGAAATTTGTTATTAAAATTTAATACTTTTCAATTCCAACTCTCTGTAATTCAATTATTGCCTTTATTTATTTACCATTCCTTCCCTATAAATAGAATAGAAATGCATGCCGTCGTAAATTCGCAGAGCCTAAAGTTCCAAGGCCCAATTTCTTTGAAATTTCAACGGGATCCCGGTCCTTTTTTAATGACTAAGTATGCATTTTTAATATCGAAAGATAAGAGTAAACTCGAAATTTCTGGATGTTCCTTTTAAAAGAATAAATATTAAAATTCATGGCCAGTCAAAAAATTTTAGGATGTGAATAGGAATTCGATGTTAAAACATCGCTGAAACCGGCATCGATGTATCGACAATTTAGCGATTTAAGGAAATTGTAAACATCGATGGCAAACATCGAATTTTGAACCGATATTATCGATGTTTCAAAAATATCGATGCATCGTTTGCATCCCTATTTCTGGGCTATTTTGGGCACCCGCGGAATCCTGCGTTGAAGCGTTGAATCCTGCGTTGATGAAGAAAGCGCGCGTAAAATGCCGGCCTTTCAAGGCTTGTTAGTTCCGAAGGGTTCGGTGATTAGCGATATTCTTGCGATGCAAGAAAGTCCATTTCCAAGTTCTAACGTTGGAATTAATGAAAATGGGTCAGTTTTGTCGTTGAGGTCGGAAAATGCTGTGCAAAATGCAGGGGCTGTTAATAAAGTGCAGTCGTACATAACCTCAAATGGTGAGCGTGTTATTCAGGTTGGTAGCAATGACGAGCGGTCCCCCATAACTTCCGAAGTTATGGCGGTGGCATCGGGTGGTGTCGAGGATAATATAACCTCAAATACGACAGGTGGTGGCCTGACTGAAAATAATTTGCAGATTGATAGTGGTGCAGGAGTGCTGACAAGAAAAATGAGTGGTAACGATATTTGTAGTTTTCCAGTGAATTACAAGGGAGCTTTTGCTGTACTATTAGATACATCCAAATCTAGTATTTTCGATAACAAGTATGCAAAAAATGGAGTGTTTCTGTGGAATAAGATTAAAAACTTCGGTATTCAAGATCTAAAAGAGATACGAGCCGTAGGCAGGACGCTGTATAAGATAGTGTTTCTATCAGTAAAAGCTGCGAATGAGTGCTTATGCAATGTGAATTTGATTAAAGCCAACATAAGAGCTTTTATTCCTAGGTCGTTTGTTGAAACGTGCGGTGTAATTCGGTACATACCGGAGGAGCTCTCTGATGACGAAATTCTGGACAATATTAAGTCGGACATAAAGGTGACTTCAGTTTACAGAATAAAGAGACGTGACAGAGAGAACAGGACTAATTTTATACCTACCCAGACAATAAAATTGAGTTTTGAAGGCGATCAATTGCCTGAAAACATACAAATTTATTACACAAATTGTAAAGTTTTGCGTTATTTTCCAGCTGTTAAGCAATGTTTTAATTGCGGCAGACTGGGACACACGAGGTTGGGGTGTAGGTCGAAGACCCGTTGTATTCTTTGTGGGACCGAGGGAAAATGTAATGAAAACTGTGTGAACAAAAAATGTATACTGTGTGGGGATTCCAAACACGTTTCAATAAATAGCAATTTGTGTCCGAGGTGGCAAAAGGAGAGGGAGATTGTTGAGGTGATGACAATAAAAAAATTGACTAAGAAGGAGGTGTATGAAACGTATACGCAGCTTAACTCGTACAATCGGTTTCAGGCGTTAGCTGACTTTGAGGAGGTTTTTCCTCCAATTGGAGAAGAGGGTAGTAAAGTGGTGAACGTGGATGCAGAAATAAATAGGCGGTTGGTTAGGAAAAGCTACAGCTCAATACTTCAAGGTCCAATGCAGGTGGAGAAGAGGTTACCTTCAAGGCCACCAAAAGTTAAGAGTCCAATTATTCCAGTGTATCAACGACCCGAATGGACAAAGGTGTCTGAAATAGAAAAGATTATTAATTTACTATGCAACAGGTTTGACATTGGAAGAGATGATCCGCTGATTTCTGTAA